CCGGCCTTCCAGCTGCTGCTGCGCGCCTGCGACCAGGGCGACACGGAGACGGCGCGGCGGCTGCTGGAGCCAGGGACGGCGGAACCGGCCGAGCGCGGCGCAGAGCCGGAGGGGGGCGCGGAGCCGGCGGGGGCCGAGGCGGCCGGGCCCGGGGCGGCGACGGCCGGAGCGCCAGTGCCAGTGGACTGCTCCGACGAAGCGGGCAACACGGCGCTGCAGTTCGCGGCGGCCGGGGGCCACGAGCCGCTAGTGCGCTTCCTGCTGCGCCGTGGCGCCTCAGTCAACAGCCGCAACCATTACGGCTGGAGCGCGCTCATGCAGGCGGCCAGGTGAGGGGTCGCGGTCCCCGGATGGGAGTGGCGCCCAGCGCGGACGAGGCTAGGGCTGGCGGAACTGCCCAGCGGCCCCCCGCTGACGCCCCGGGAGGCAAGGAGTCAAGGACTCCTTGGAGTTGGAATGTTAAACTTTGGGCATACGCGAAGTGGGAGCGCTTTTTAATGCACAAAACCCCTGGAATCTCAGAAACTTTGGCCTTTGACAACAGAATCTGTAGACTGCCAATAGAATCTTAGAGACTCAGAATCTTAGAGGTATTCATTCATTACTTCTTGCACCAAAGGCTTGCTAAGACTCTACCCACCCTGGCCTGGCGTTGGGGATACTGTGTGACCTAGGTAGCTTTCTTCCCTGGGGACAACTCGCATGCCAGTGGTAGGCAGACCAGACAAAGGAGCAAGTGTGACCAGGAAAGTTTTGGTAGCTTTGAGGGATGCTGACTCTTTGGGAGGGGTGGGGGAAAGTTTCTGGCATAAATAATGTATACATCCACATGAAAACCTGGAGGTGCCTGAGAATTAACCCAGCAAAAAGAAGCAGGATGCGGGAATACAGTGATGGGAGGCTCACTCAAATGCTGGGGAGCTAGAACTGGGAGGATTGGTGGAGAGTGATTTTATAACTGGGAAGGGGCTGGAAGTAGTGAGAGATGAGCCCTGCCTGGAAAGAAGGTGCCAGGGAGCTGAGAAAGGCCAATTAACCTAGGGCAGTGGGGAGTTATGGAAGGTTGTAGACAGAGTGAGTGACAGGATCAGATTTGTGTTTTGAAAGAGTTACTTACGCTGAAGTGTGAGAATGGATTGGTGGGATATTTAGGGCAAGGTAAGAGATGTTGGGGGCCTGGAGCTAGCTGATTGGAGATAGTGGAGATAGTGGGGGGGGGGCTGAGAGGTGAGTTTAAGATATATTCAGGAAGTAGATCAGCAGGACTTGGTGACTGGTTGACCATGGGAGAGGACTAAGGAATAGGGAGACAGCAGGAATGGTGTGTGTATACCTGGCTTGAATGACAGACATAGTGGCAGCAGATGCAGTGAGCTAGAGAACACAGAAAGTCAGATTTGGGAATGCGTCTAGCCTTCAGATACACATCAGGTTGGGAGGGTCTTTGTGGCAGACCCCTTGCCCCAGAAAGAAGTGTCCAGCAGGGAGCTGGACATTGGACTCTGGAGGGCAAAGGAGGGTATGGACCTAAGGAGACAGGCAGTTAGTAGCATGTTGATGACAACTGGAACTTTGGAGTAGAAAGAATTATCCAAAGTGAGTGTAATGTAAGTATGATATTGAATAATGGTGGCTGGCTTCCCAGTTAGAACTGCTGTAAGACAACCCCTCCCCCAATTCTGGAGGCCTTATTAAAGCAACAGCCATTGATTTATCACACATTTTTGTCACTTTAGTCTAATCTGTCTTCTTCATACATCTATGGTCAATACCACACATCTACGTGACTGAGCTGGCTGGCCGTCTGGACTGTTTCTCTTTCACCCTTCTGCAGCCTGGTCTCATTCATGTCTCAGCAGCAGGAGCCCTAGGATTGGAAGTGTGCTGATCACTTCTGTCTCATTATTTGGCCAAATAATTCACATGGCTAGTCCAGGTTCAGAGAGTGAGATACAGGAGAAGAGTTGCAAAGACTCAGGGCCCTGGATACAGGGAAGGGAATAACTGCTATAATTTTTGCGGATTGTTTACTAATATTAATGGGACACCTATATGTAAGCCCTGTCCTGAGAACTTAAACAGCTTACCCCATTTTACCTTCACAGCAGCCCTGTGCCCTAGGTATTTGATTGCTACCATTTTACAGAAAAGGAAACTCTAGAAGGCAGAACCCACTGATATTTAAAGATTAGATAGTTGGGGATTTGGGAAAAATTTCAAGTACTAGCAACAGTGTCACTGCGGAGAGGAGAAGGGAAGAGGAGGATTGATCTAGCAGCAGCAGGTTAGCAGGTCAGAAGTTTGGGCAGGACAATTCTGTGGATGATGGACATTGAAGTGCGATTGCATTGGTGAAGGGGTGAGTGGGATTTGAACACATGGAAAATGCAGACAGCCCTTTCGCTGAGCTTCAAAGAAGGAGAAAGAGGATGCTTGCTCAGGGTCTAAGGAGGGTTTTTAGGATGGGAGAGGTGTGAGCAGTATTACTGGCTGATAGGTTAAATCAGGTATCCTCAAACTTCGGCCTGCGGACCACATGTAGTCTGCCTAGGACATTTATCTGGCCTGCTGGGTGTTTTTGCTGCAGCTGCCTGTCCTGCTTAGCAGCCAACTCATTGGGGCCCACAGTCTGGCCCTCCAATGGTCTGAGGGATAGTGAACTGGCCCCCTGTTTAAAAAGTTTGAGCACCCCTGGGTTAAATCATGGAGGCATGATAGGGAGTCTTCAGGTAGGAAGAGGAAAGGAGGAGTTCTCCACCCTAAGGTGAGTTAACATTGTTCTTTTTTTTTTTTTTTTTTTT